TCAACTACCTGCTGATACCAAGTTTGATCTGATCCATAATACAGCTGTAGAAATACATAGTGTTTAATAAAATATAAACCTCTGCAGGTTTCCTTTGATGTTTTCCTTTAGTATTTTTAATGATGTCCTACAGCACTTGTGTAATATCGGATAAATGCTGCCAGTTGCTGACAGTAAGAGACATCTCAAGGTTGATCACTTGAATGAACACGATATAGACTCAGTCATCCTTAAGAAGTGATGTTTACACTACTGAGCATCTTTTAAATGTCTTGCAAATTAAATTAAATGCTACTCTTGCCCCTTAATTTAATTTTACACAGACCTGCTGCTTTAATTCCAGAACAGTAAATAAAGCAAACCTGCAATTGACAACTCTGCTGGAAACCTCTTGATACAGCAGAGCCCCCTGCAGTCTGCAAGTCAGCGGCTGCACCTCAGCTCGTTGGGCAACCACAGCTTCTTTTTACATTCACATTAATGAGTGTGAGCTGGTCACAGTACACGGATAGTACAGAAAATATTCCATGTTTATATCATTGTGAATTTTATAAGCGTTATCACTATATGACTAAATGCATCAGCTAAATCTGTCATAACACATGCAATGAAATGTACAACACATCTTCATTAGTGGCCTTGACACACACTAGCGGTCTCTGTGTTAGTTACTGCTGCCCCCTGCTGGTGCACTCAGATTGTAGCAGGTTATATAGTTCCCTGTGCTCCGCTCAATCAGACACGCTCCAATATTAAGTTAATATACAGCTCACAGTGCAGATTATGATGGATCCTGTCGTCTCACCAGCTGTATTCATAATTACTGCTTTAGCTAAAGCGTTGTTTATACTGTAGAGTAAGTCATATCCAAGGACTTGGGCACGTTCAGCGAGAAAAGTCACTTTGTGGTAAATTAAGCCTTCTGTTGTTGGGGGATGTCTGTGTGTCTTAATGGGGACAATTAATCAAGTGCTGATCTGCTCATGAACACACATTCACACATGCACACGCACAATCATGAAACAAACGCATACGGTCGCACAGCAGAAGGTGAGCGTATCACAATGTGCTCAGGTCGGACCCTCGAGTTAAAGCACTGTTCCCAAAGAGTGAAGGACACAATGGCTATAACACAGAGGGGGGAGTGGAGTTGGGATGGGGTGGGTGGGGGGGGTTAGTGGGATGGAGCGAAGGTCAGGAGAGGGAGATGCCCCAGGGAACAGAGAGACGGGGGGATAAAAAGACAGAGATAGAGAGAGGCAGGTGAGCGCTGATCTCACTGTAGGAGAAAGCGGCATGAATAGAAAGTTAACAGGCACAAGAGGAGACGTATAGAGAAACAATAGGCCACTGCAGGCAGAGTCTAGTTGTACATGGTGAAATGATGGAATAAGAGGTGGGTTGAAGCGATAAACCAAGGCCAGCGGGAGGAAAGAATTAATCAAAATGGAAAGAGAGGAACAGAGTGAGAACAGCTTACAAGCAATAGCTATCATTCTGCTGTGCTGTGGGGCCATCAAAATGCTGCACCTACTGGGAGTCATCACTGTGGAGGGTGAGTGAGTACTACAACTACTATCACTGTAATCCAGCACTAACCAAACCAGCAAATTTAAGAGGAATTATTTTGTTTTTTTTCACTGTTGTCTCTCTGTCAGCGAGTTATTTAAAAAACAAAACAAAGAAAAGGTTTGGTTTACTCAGGGAGGAGATGTTTGGTATGTGGGACTCACCTGCTACTTGTTCAGAAAGTCAAAAAATCAAAATTTTAATAAACAAACTGTAAATGTTGATGCTGCGGGCTGTTCAGCTGTTCAGTATTGGTGGAGATTCACAATCAAGTTCTCTATTGTCATAACTACTCCTAACATGCCTGCTGGAGAGGGATTGTACATTTCTTCCTTTGTTGCTTTTTATATTTTAAACCTGCAATACCCAGCTGTCCAATACATCTGTTTGTCTACTGCTGTCACACTCAAACACTGGCATTTCTACTGCTACAATGACTGATGCCATATATACAAATAATACAAAAAATGATGGAAACTTATACCTAGCTGAACCTAATACTGCAAAAAAAAATAAGTGAAACCCATGAAAAAACTCGGCATATTAACAGTGACAGTGTATAATAAGTAATAAGAAGTAACAAGGGTAATGACTTGTGTTCAACACTTTACTTCACCTTTGTTATGGTCTGTATGTAGAGATTCACAAATCTAAAGTTGCTGAAGTTTGTCTGCCTGAACAGAATATGTTGTACTTTCTAATGACCAGTGGTAATTTCAGCATATTTCTTCATAGTTTTATTATAATGTGCTCAATTTAGGTTATGTTGCATAATTTTGCATTCTAAACTGTATATACTTTATCCTATTATACAGGGAAGCTGAATTCATAAATAACATTTTGTTTTAGCTGCTAATTGGCTTTTACCACAAGAGGAAGAAATTAGTGACTTTTGAGACAAAATAATAGTTTTCTGACAGTGAAGAGGCTGAAACTGTCTCTTCTCCTTGATCATGAGTTCAATTTTTATAATTCACCGAGCGACAGTGTAGAGAACAAATTTAAACCTGAAGACTAACTAATCCTGACTCTCACATACTTATATTAACTTAGGTGTTTTACATGTTTTCCATCATAATGCAGTCTTATTATATCTATAGACATAACGCTGCCATAATACAGTAAATATTCTACTGCTTAAAAATGTCTGATGACTTTTTCTTTTTTTTTTTTTTTAGAGGTACAGTTGCTCTGTGAGATGGGATGTCTTGTGCTGTGTTAGTTTTTATTATAAGCATAGAGTGTGATGATGACTGTGCAGGTGCCATCAGGGTTTTCACAAGAACAATAGAGTCTCGGTGACGCCTTTCAGAGGAGTCTATGTTCTTTAACTCTATAGGTGCACGAACACTCTGCTGTGTGGGTGTATCAATAGACAGACGCCTGAAGGTTACAGTGACGGTGTAAGAGCACCACATTAGAATCTGTGTTTTGAATGCATTTACAAGAATATGTGCATGTGCATCACACTTGTTTTGGTGTGTGTGTTGTGTGTGTGTGTGTGTGTGTGTGTGTGTGTGTGTGTGTGTGTGTGTGTGTGTGTGTGTGTGTGGTTATGCAGCATACAGTATGACCACTGAGAAACTGAACTGCCTGAGTGATGAAAGAAATGGCCTTCAGGGCCTCCCTCTCTCTCTCTCTCTCTCTCTCTCTCTCCCTGTGTGTGTGCGTTAAACAGGGTGAGGTAGGAGAAAGCAAGATATAAAGCGAGACTGCTTAGCAACTCAATAAGTTGTACAAAGTCATAAAGTAATAACGCTCCATATAAGAGAAAATTAGCAGCCACGATGCAATAAGCTCTTGCTGGGTAACAAAATGAATTATTGTAATTTCCGTTGACTATTACATTTTTAAATGAGTTGTGTTTTGTTTTGTAATATGTTCGCATCATGATCGCAACAAGTAAAATGACGCCACAGTGCCACATTTGAACATCATAATTGACACTTTAATTCAAACCCACTTTTGGCTCCTAAACCGTGATGGCAGCACTTCTGTGCACGAAAAAGTCTGCTGATGTATTAAATGAGAACGCTGGATACTCCGTCTAAAATGGTGAGGTTTAATTTAGCAGTGAGATGAAGCTGTCTTTGCTTTGCACAGTAAAAATGCCGACCTGGTACCCATGATTCATTGCTAGAATGGAACTGAAGAGGTATTGGTGTAATGAAGCTTCACAAAGCACTAATGGTCTTTCCACACATATAAAAATGTTTCTATTTCAAGACTGTTGATGTTTCAAAATGTGGATTGCCAAGGACACAGTGAACCTTGCACCCTTGTGACACTCAATTAAAGCAGAAGAGGAGCCCTTAAAAGAACCTGTGACTGTACCAGCTCCCATTCAAACCAATGTCTGCCAAAATTTTCTCAGATGACAGTGCAATAATCAAGTTTACCGATTTAAGGATTTTGAAGTAAGCTGTTGTAAATCTGGACAGTTCTCTGGACTGGCGTGACGATCGTAATTAGTATTTAAATGCTAAATGACAGAGGAAATTGTACTTGATCTCCATTCAGCCCTTTGGATGGGAAGTCGGCTCTTACAAGTAATTAGAGGTCTACACAGGCGGCAGTCACGACTCGTCACACCAATGTCATGTATCTGCCAGAGAGGCCAACAGTCTGTCCTCCTCATATTAAATTAATTTATTATTTATTTATTATTATTATTAGATGTATCTATGGACAGGCTAGCACAGATGAGTGATGGACAATCATTATTCTGAAATGGCCTTCATAAAACATGGCATCTTATCACTTAACCACAAGTAAGTTTCTTTTCTTTTTTTTCTTTTCTTTTTGGTCCAGTATTTTACTACTGCACATTCTGACCACTTTATCATATTCAGATTTTTATTACTATAACTGTTAAATTATGCACGATTATAACAGTATGCATAATTATTACATTGTAGATTGCTTTGGGGATTATTGCGCTCAAGTAAATGTGTAGATGAGTGTCTGAGAGAGAAAAGGAGAGTGTCTTGCTTTTATACCGTCATGTTCACCTATAGACACTTTTTGTGTGTGTGCGTGTGTGTGTGTGTGTGTGTGTGTGTGTGTGTTGTACCAGAGTCAGTGGTTTGTCCTCTCTCCCCTCCCCTACGGCGAGGAGAGTAATGAGTTGTTAATGATAGGGCCGGTGAGAGGAGGAAAATGGGGCTGTTGGACTGACCTCTACCTCTCTGCACCTCCATCTCTCATCCTCTCCTCTCCTTCTCTTTTTTGGTCACAATTTATATCAACCTGCCTTTTCAGAAAGATTTCAATGTAGTTAAAACTTGACGTGTGCACATTAGTTCACTGAGGCAATGTGTCCCCTTTCCCTTTTTTATATGTCCAGTTGCTACTTTCTCTCCCTCTTGGAGGTCATGTTAAATGATAGTGGTTTCTTTTTTTCCCCTTTGTTTTTGTGTTTGTTTCTTCAGATAAAGCTGATGATGACTTGGAGATGACCATGGTGTGCCATCGACCAGAGGGCCTGGACCAGCTAGAGGCTCAAACCAACTTCAGCAAAAGAGAGCTCCAAGTGCTCTACAGGGGCTTCAAGAATGTAAGTCAGTGTGAAAGTGCCACAGAAAACAGGTTTTCAGTTTTTTGAGAGATATGTATGTCGATCAGACGGATAGAAACAAGCAAACCAAGAGGTTGGCTTTAAGAATAAAGAAAACCCCACTCAAGAATTCTGAAATATGAATCATTGGAGTTTAAATGAACCAGAGTATATTTATTTTTGCATAAGAAACAGTATGTAAAGGTTTTGATTTCACTGGGGAACAAAATACATTTGGTTGAGAATCAGACCTGATCTCCTATTTTCTGACCCTCTTATTAGTGTGTTTTTATTATCATATTGTATTATTATTAGCAGTAGTATGTTTTTTCGTTGATCATTTTGCTCTTGTCGGCCTTACAATTTCTTTTTTTAACTTTTTGAATATACTTAAGAATATAATATGTCATTTATCAGCGACACATGGATGATATTGATAGTTTTTTTTGCCAGTTTAGCAGCTATAAGATTCCATGTCACGCTGGACAAAAGGTCCGAATTTGCAACTGCAGTCAGTTGTACTTTGGTCAGATGAGACAGTGTAGTATTCTAGTTACCAGCAATTAAACTAGTCCAAATTAAAAGTTATTCAATTGTGCTAATTTCCTCACATATAGCCGCCTACTCAGTATCCAATCTCCAGTTAACTTTGTTTGTTCCTTTCATTCATTTAATCACACCCTCCACAGTCTCTGTCCACCTGTTTGACCGACCAATGGGGTTGGTTTGTGTATTTTATTTATATGTTCTCCTCACTCCCTCTTCCCTTTGTCTCCCTCTCTTTCCAGGAGTGTCCAAGTGGCGTTGTAAATGAGGAAACTTTCAAGCAAATATACTCCCAGTTCTTCCCACATGGAGGTACAGAGAGAGAGAGTGTGTGTGTGTGTGTGTGTGTGTGTGTGTGTGTGTGTGTGTGTGTGTGTGTGTGTGTTGTAATGTAACGTGTCTATACCTGTCTCTGTATTGTTTCTACCCAGTCTGCAAACTTTTTCTTCTTCTCCTGCAGATGCCAGCACCTACGCACACTACCTGTTCAACGCGTTTGACGCAGCACACACCGGCTCCATAAAGTTCGAGGTTTGTTTTACTCATTCATTTCCACTTTTCTGTACGTTGATGCTCAGGGTTTGAAGACGTCTCTTCTATATCTCTAAATTTTCAGTTGCTCATTCTGCCTCTGTTTTTTTTTTTCTCTCCAGGACTTTGTGACAGCTCTGTCCATCCTGCTGAGGGGCACTGTCACTGAGAAGCTCCAGTGGACATTTAACCTCTATGATATCAACAGAGATGGATACATCAACAAAGAGGTGTGTGTTTGTGTACCTGCGCGTGTCTTCATTTTTTTTTTTTTACATTTGTGGTTATGTGCACTGTTTGTTTTTTTTATTAATCATGTCTCATTGTATGCATCTCTTTTCTGTCTCATAGGAGATGACAGACATTGTCAGAGCGATATACGACATGATGGGGAAATACACTTACCCTGTCTTGAAAACTGACGCACCCAGACAGCATGTGGATGCCTTCTTTCAGGTAAAGAAATCTGAGTCTTTTATTACATCAAAGCTAAACCCAACAACACAAACATCAATGACTGACTGAACAAGGATGGATCAGTCAAACACTACATGCTTTATATTTCCGTTATCAGCAAAAAAAAAAGAAAAAAGAAAAAAAAGAAATAACCAACCATTAGCATGAGTAATGATGGGCACCTTGGTTAAACAGCAAATAAAAGAGAAAAAAACTAATTACAAGAAAAGACATCACACTAACTGGCTGGTGATCTTTACAGGACAATCACAGCAGTGAATATGGGGAAAAGACTGACAATAATCTCTCAGCAAAAGCTACTGATTTTAAAGCAGTGTGCATCATGCGTTCCTACCTTTGAATAAATATCTTAATATTGTCGCATACACACAGCACAAATGGCTTCATGCGTGTGTGTGTCTCTCCACAGAAAATGGACAAAAACAGAGACGGCGTGGTCACTCTTGATGAATTCATCCTTTCTTGTCAAGAGGTACTTGGTTCTTTCTTTAAGTTCTCTTCTCTGTTGCATAAACCCTTTCACTTTGCAGAAGGCCTTTTTCACAGCACATGTATAAATGCTAAAATGAATGATGGCTTGGTAACTTACAACTCAACTTCATTGCTCAAAAAGACCTTATTTTCTCCTCCTCCGCAGGTTTTTTTTTTTTTTAACCTTTTTATTATATTTCTTGTTTGCCTTTGGAGAGAGATTACTGACATTTTCATACTGTCTCCATTTTTGGACTTCCAGTGCCCCCTAGTGGCTGTTGAACTGAATTAAATGATGATGGTTAGATGTTTTTCTCCTCACAGTATGCTTCTTAATTTCCCATCTTCTTTGCACAGGATGAAAACATCATGCGGTCTCTGCAGCTCTTTGAAAACGTCATCTAGACAACAAAGAAGAGGGAGACGGCGCTATAGACGAAAGCATGGAGATTGAGAAAAGAGAAGAAAGAAGGGAGGGAGAAGGAGAGATGAACATGCACAAGAAAAGGAACCGCATAGCTTGCAATTGAAACGATACAAAGAGCTTGTTGCTTTGTGTGTGACGGTTGCCGCAAAACTTCATGGGAGGTGTCTTGCTGTAACAAATCCATGGCGACAAACCATCACTGGTTTTTGGAAAATGTCCTTCAGAATAAAACACGTCATTTGACCTTTCTGTGACCATTCATCTCGTCTCCATCTCCCTCGATTGTTGCTGTTGTTACGGTTACCGTCATGTTGGACAGTGTGTACTTCATGCCATCATGTAAATACGGATTCTTTCACATTTGGTCAAATCCTTTTCTGAAATATGTTAATTGAACCACGTTATGAGGACTGGTATTTCCTAAAAGCAGCTTGGCAGTGAGATCAAACAAATGCATACTTTGTGCATTAGAGGCTTAAATAATAGCTGCTTTCATCATGAACTTCTGTGTCAATACAACAAACATAAGCAATATTGTGAAGCATGCAAGCCAAGAGGCCTACGGCATATCTAACATATATGTGCCATACGAAACTTAGTGGCAACACAGTCATCTTCTTGCTCTAAATGGTGATATTTGGGAGGCCAGGCCTGGGCGTAGCATCTCACAGAGCCACCTCATCCGTTTTTCAGACACAGGCCTGTAAAGGTTTGCACAGCTGAGCGCGACCGCAGCCAGCTTGCGTCTTGTGGCAGTTTTACAACAGTCCCCATAAAGCCCTCGTTACTCCTACTATGTGTGTTCCAGTGGTGTCAGTCAGTGTTTCAATGTTGTAACGACTCGACTGTAGATATTTAACTCTGGTATTTGTGGCTTCTTCTCGCTGTCTGGAATCATCCGTGTCCGTCTGTGTGTCTCTGATTCTGACTATCCGTCTCGTCTTTCTGTCAAATTGGATATAACTGTAGCCTAATTATTCTACCTGGCATTCATTGTTAAATAGAGTCTACCTAGAGGTTTACTGCAGTACAGATGCAGAGTGATACAGGGATCTGCATGCGTCTAAGTGTGTGTGTGTGTGTGTGTGCGTGTGTGTGTGTGTGTGTGTGTGTGTGTGTGTGTGTGGTGTCCTGTTGTAAAATTGTTGTTTTTTTGGGGGTTTTTTGTTGTTTTTTTTTGCCTAAATATTAAAGTGTCGTTTATCCTAGCTTCATCTTGGAAACACAACAACGAGTCCAGCTAAACTGACCGCGTTTCGGCTACAGAGGAGAGTTTCGTCGTCAATTCTGTCTGTTGAAAATGTCGACTCAGAGCGACCAACCTTTCACTGTGAGGGAGAGACAGACGAGGGGAGCTAGAAGGAGGGGATGATGGTGGAAAGAATAGGGGAAGACAAAGATGAGAGAATAAGGCAGAAGATGAGAGCAAAGACCTTTTCACTGATTCTGAAGGAATGGAAGCCATGATTCAAACAAGAGCCATCGTTTTGAAGATTGAGCAGGACAAAAACACAGATTTATAAATGATTTGCTGTCATGCCCACTCACTGTGCCACCAATCGTGTAATAAAAATCCTGGCTGAGATTTGCTGCAGCTCATCTCAAATGTACCCAGACATACGTCCAGGCAGACTGACAGACAGGAAGACAAACAGATAGACAGGCATACAGACACACAGACAGCTCACAACTGTCAGAATGAAATAATGTGTGTATTGAAATATTGTATAAAATCATTATATTTATCAATAAACTTTTCAAGAAACAAAATGAATTCATGTCTGCTATATTTTACCTTGTTGCTTTTTTTTTTTAATAGATTCTAATTATTGTGTCTGAAAAGCTTGAAATCATTTTTATGGTGCATCATAAAGAGCATGAGCAAAAAGGATCACACTAACAGTTTATACTGTTATTTACACATATACAATGAAAGTACAAAAAGGGGTTGTACATCTGTGACTCTATCCCAAAGGATACGGCCCCTCAAATAAAGCATGATAATGTGCATATGAAAAAACTTCACCACCATCACTGGACATGCATCACTCCCTTTATTACCCATCTTACAGCCTCTTTTTCACCTCTCTCCCCACTAATCCTGACATTTATTTTCCTTTTATTACTGCTCACAATAGCAGTTTTCCCATAATGCAACATTTGGGCATCATTTTTGAGGGCTACTCTGGTGCATCCCACCTGTGTATGTACAGGTGCTTGTAGTGGAGTGAGTAAATCTATGAATGAGATTTGAAAAAGGTTGAAGCACCAGAATAATTTAATTGAAATAGCCAGATTTTATCTGCATTTTTCTTTTATATTTTGATAAAACCGAGCAAGAGATTTTTTTTAAAACTGGCTGACACATTTTATGTAAGTAAACTATTGTATAGGTGGTGGAGTGTTTGGCTGCTGTTCCTCCCCTAATAAAACAGAGCTAACTCTTTCAAAGTGAGGCAAAGGATGTTTGTTTCAGAATAAGGAGAAAACACCTTTACAAAATGTTCAATCATGTTGTGTCTCACTGTGGAAAATTCATTACCTCCTTCAGGTCTGTAGGCTAAATTTCTCTCTCCCTCTTATTCTAATAAACAGAATAAGTACAAGCATAAGAGGACAATCACAGGGTGACAAGAATTTTTAATGACAAGTTCTGTTTCAGCTCCTCTTTCAATTTGAAAAGTCTCATTGTTCCCAGGTACAGAGTTGCAAGATTTAGTCCAAGAAAGTTCAGTTTCTGCTTCAAGACAGGCGTCATTCACTCACCATCATTTCAGGTCCAGTTTCACAACCATCCACTCTAATGGCTGTGGCCCACTCTTCAGTTTTTCTGGTCCAACATAATTTTTTCTCCATTGTATGGATCGAAGTAAGTCCTACTGTCCTCATGTAGGCCTAATTTAATTTATTTATCCTCCCAGGGGTAATAGATGATGCTTATTGATTGCAGCCTGGTGTTTGGTCTCTATTCCCTGTCCTCGGCCCAGGGTTGGAGGTTCTGCAGGGCATACAGGGAGGAGTTATGGGCGCACAGTGGATCCGACACCGCTGATTCGCTGAGGGACTTCTGGAGGGCGGACTGCTGCAGCTGCAGGATGAGGCGATTGGCCTGCTGACGCTCCGCCTCCCTCTCCTCGGCTGTCTGTCTCCTGAAAGAAGGCAGGAGAAGAATTTTAACATGAGATTAGATTCATTATTAATAAATAAAAAGTGAGGTTACACAAGATTAAAGAATAGAAAAAAAATTGTCATTAAATTCATAGGCCTCATAAAAAAATACAGCAGTGAATTGTTGGAATAAAAATAAAAATATTTCTACAGAGCGATGCAGGGATGAAAAGATTTGACTAAAGGAAGAGGAATTAACAAAACAAAACAAAACAAACAAACAAACAAACAAAAATGTCGTTGACTTCTTGCAATATGTGGTAAACGTTACATTTTGGAGATTTAAAAATAATAATAATAATAATTTGGGGCTAATTAATATCGCACGATGTACAGGTTCTACCTAAAATGTATTTGTACTGAAGAGAAAAATAAAGTAAAATTATATCAAAGCTGTTTTTTAAAAATTTGTTGCTGTTAGTTTTCATCCTTTAGTTTTTTGTTCCCACTCCTCGGGGTCAATTAACAGGAAATTACGCGCGGGGTCATCCGCTAAACGAGGGAAGTTTGGTGTTTGAACAGGACGCCTGTGGCGGATGAAACTCTTTGTGGAAGAAGGCCACATTACCATTATCCGTGTTTTCTCAGGGTGGAGGTGTGATGGAATGCGGTCATAAATGTAAGTAACTTTGATATGAATATGGAATGTCATACCAACCTCCACTTGGTCCTGCGGTTCTGAAACCAGGTTTTGACCTGTGCGTCTGTCATCTTCAGACTCTTGGCCAGAGCTGCCCGCTCGGCGCTGGCCAGGTACTTCTGCCGGTGGAAGCGTTTCTCCAGCTCGCAGATCTGAACTCTGGAGAAGGACGTGCGGGGCTTTTTCCGTTTGGGAGGCGTCCGGTTCTGGTACGGGTGTCCTATCCGCCGTGTAACGGCGAACGGCACAAGAGCGGCTGCAGGGAAGAGAGACACACACCGGTGAGTGGAAGACGAGATTTCATACAGCACCAAACAGACTAATTCACTCCCCACTCTGTATGGAAATTCAAGACCATATATCACAGATATCTGCCCTGTTTGACAAGAATTCCCTATTTAGACTGTGTAGGCCACATGTGAAATATGTGAGGTGAAATTAATTGTGAAATATGAGTCTGCCCAAAGTATTGGAAACAATACAGTTATAAAAATCAATAAACACTCATATTAAAGTTGTTTGGGATTTAACAGATAATGTCGACCCTGCTAATTACAGATATAACAGCAGGCCTGTTGGCCTGTTTATCTTTTCTTTACATACCGTGTTATAGGCCTTTGTCAATAAAGGCTCCTCTTAGTCTTTAATAAAAACAGGCTGCACGTGAGATAAAATGTTTTAAATCAACTTGTATCATCTTTAATTCTACACCTAAACTTACTTTAATTTTTTTTGTTAAATACAGAGAACACATTACACCCTTTATTATTGATGATTGTCATGTTTAAGATTTTTTCTATAATTTATGGAGAAGGCTAAACTATTTGTCAGCGTAATAGCTTGTCTTATTCTTATTTAGCCTCCATTTAGCCCATTAATAACATATATTGTTCATTTTCACTACAGCATTATGACAGGACCATGTTGTTGCTGTTTGGTTCTTAAAAACAAAGCACAGAAACAGTAACTGTGATTGTACATTACTTGTTTTGCTTATTTTGTTATGTAGAAATGAAATATGGAAATCGTAAAAACATGAGTGAAGTCACACTGATACAAGGCGTTTAATATTAATCTGTATATACAGGCCTAATATACACAAGTTTAAAAATATTTAAACTACAAACTGTTGTATGATTTCATCCTCGTTAATCCATTTAAATAATTAAGTGAAACATTTCAGTTTGCTGTAAATAGCCTTTACAAATATATGGCACAGGTGTTTGTTGTTTTAACTGCTCCAGCAGCAGTTACTAACGTTTTAAATATAATAAAATATTTATGAGGGAACCCATTAGGTCGAACAGCTGGCCTACCTGATATTCTGTCCTTGGCGAACCTGTTCCCTATCCAGGGGAAGCACAGTCCTCCAAACCCGGGAACAGCGCCCTGGACGGGGGCTGGGGGTCCCGGGGCTGCCACCGGTCTGTGGGCCGGGACTCGAATCACTCCACGGCTGCCCAGACTCCTGCTCTCCCCGTATGAACCTGAAGTCTCCACCGGAGGCATTATACCGGAGAGAGAGATAGACAGCGCGGTGTAAGAGGGCGCGCTGGCCCCGGTCGGGCTTCCTAAACTGTAATAACCGTCCCCGCTGCTTAAATCTGATCCACTTTGTCTTCCAGCCGTGCGCCCGTTTTCTGGCTCTGTACCGGCTCCCAGGATCTGGTCGATGCCGAAGCTGATGGGCTCGTGATGGGCCGGTTTGGGAGGAGGGCTCGGCGCGCTGGGTGCTTGCTCCATTCCCGTAGCTCAGTCGCGAAAAGGACAAAAAAAAAACTGAACAGGGTGTTTTCAGTGGGATTCACAGCAGGGTCAAACTGTACCAAAAGTCATCGCCAGTAGTGTCTCCATCGCTGTCCAATCGTCCTCCCAGAATCCAGCGTGTCCTCGTTGTCTCTTAACAGGCCTCTTTCAGAGGACTGGGTCCTCTTTACAGGCTGTGGTGAAAGTTTGATGGGCGTTTGGAGAGATGTGACGCTCTGTCCTCCTCTCAGCGCGTCAAAACGCTCCGTCTAGCAGCTCCGTCCTCCTCCATCCTTCTCCACCTTTCATTGGCTGGCAGCAGAATGACTGATTGAATGTTAATGGGGGTAGGCCCAGGATTTGGCACAATAATCAAGATTTCCCATAACCACGGGCGTCAGCTTGTTATACATATACGGAAAGAAATGGCATCTTCGTGTCTTCAGAGTGAGTCAGTATTGGATGTTGTCGTTTTTTTCTATCATTATAATGAAGAGTAAAGAGCCAGCGACAACTTCATGGAAATTTATGTGGCATATGTAAAAA